CTCCAGGGCCATAAAAAGCAGACAGAACAAAAAATAAAAATAAAAAGTTACAAAGATGGAAAAGACAAAATATATCTCAGGATGACTGTGTTTTACATATCTGCTTCTCCCACAACAAAAGTTTGTATTTCATATACGTAGAATTTAAAACATTTCTCTCTGACTTGCATGAATTTAGTTAGCATACACAAAAGATATCATCTGTATATCCCACTGTGCCTTAAAGAAATTTACTATTAAATTTTCAGATTATTTCAGTTTTCATCTCATTATTATTAAATTTTTGGAAATGTAAGAATGCATACACAATCCTTGTTAGCAGTGTGTGGACAGTTTTACAGCACTTTCCTGTGACCTTAAATGTAATTTCCAAGTTAAGAATCAAACAGCTTCACATAGAGAGACTTTTCCCATCACAGGCCAGTGCACTGATAAGGGATTGTGAAATCCTTTGAGCCTGTATAATCTATTAACAGTGTGTTCTCATGAGAAGCAAAACATATCTCTGCCATATCAGCTTTTTATAAAGGGTCGAAAGTTCAAGGAAGCAGCAACAGGAAAGCCATATGAAAGAACTTTGAGGTTAACACTAACCAAGGTCTTCATTTTCAACCATTTTATCATTAAAACAATGAAGTGGCTTGAAAGTTAACGTAAAATTCAACTACAACATTCTGTCACATTAATACAATAATATCACAGGACACTATTCTTTGTGCACACATCTGGATTGACACAGTTGGTGTTGCAATGTGCATATTGATTGCTGTATCACAATTCCCTCAAAAGTCATGTTTTTCTCCTTTGATTTTGTTTTAAAATTCAAAGTAATGAACTATATGATATTTAATCAAACACGAGTAACTTATTTCTATAGCCATTTATTTTACCACCACCCCTTTTCTGAGGCTCATAGTTTTACTTATGTAAGTAATGATGTCAAAACTACTGCAGTCAGTTAACCTCATTCTTTTGATATGCTTCTGTTTGATTTTGCTCCACTGTTGAACTACTAGACTAAATGAAAACTATTTTGAAGTCCCTGATATCAATTGTTGTTTAGGAAAATTGTATAATACACACACACACATTATATATATTAGTAATATATGAGTGTGGAAATTTTAATCCAATTTCATCACCATAGAATTATATAGACGTTAACAAGAGCTGTGATGTTGTAAAACATCTTTGTTTTCATGTTTCTAATAGTGTGGAAGAGATATTTCTGCACAATTTGTTATTTTCTGTTGTGCTCGGCTGTTGCTCTTTCTTATCCTTATGCTTTTACACTCCAGAGAAACTTTCTTATACCTGCATGTATCTAAGCAAGATTTGTGTGTCTAGCATATATTCACAATTTGTGTTAAATTTTTATGGTTGCCATGGTACTAGCATTACTTAGAAACAGATGCCTGCTCAGCAAAAGTGCAACAAGTAAACTATCCCCACCCCCACCCCAGCACTCTTTCACTTTTCATTTTGAAAAAAAGATTGTACTTAAATTTCTCCAGCTGGCCTTGAACTCACCCTATAGCTCAGGAAGGTCTTAGGCTTGTTGTCTGACCAAGTTAGAATTCCAAGAAGCTGGATAATAGGCCTGTGACTAAGTGTCGGGACATTAGTCTTTTCATATTTACTATATATCATTGTTTTCTAAGATAAATCTCTACTTACATTTGCAGTGATCTTCTTATAGTCAATTTCTTCTTAACAGTAGGGTAAATTACTGCAATGTATTCTTCCTTATTCTTTTAAAATTAAAACCTTGTTTGTTTGTTTTTTTAACAAAGGTAGCTTAAAACTTATATCTTTTTTTTTTTTAATTAGCGTATTTGTGCAAGCAATGTCTCCATGGTGATAATGAGTGTATGAGAATTCTTGTTAGAGACTGAACTCTATTGTGCCTCATGACAGTGACAATCATCATTGGGGTAAAATAGAAAAAGCATCAACATTTGAATCTAAAACCAAAAGTGACAGAAAAGAATATGATCAAGAACACCAATCAAAGACCGTGCATAGAGAGGACATAGACCACTTGCTCAGATGTAGTCCACAGACAATTCACTCTCCATGTGTGTTCTCTAGTAAGGAGAGAAGAGAGTTTCTGACATGAACTTGGTTGCCTGCTCCTTGATCACTTCCCCTTGATGGGAAGACCTAACCAACCCACAGAGGAAGAGGATCCAGGCAGTCCTGTTGGATCCTAGGGTCAGACAGTAGGGGGAGAAGGACTTCCCTATCAGTGGACTAGGGGAGAGGGATAGAGGAGGAAGAGGGAGGGTGGGACTGAGAGAAGACAAGGGAGAGTCTCAGTTGAAACTGGGATAAAAAAAATGAAAAAATGGGGTACAGAGCTAAACAGAGAATTCTCAGTAGAGGAATACAGAATGACAGAGAAACACTCAAAGAAATGCTCAGTGTTCTTAGCCATCATAGAGATGCAAATCAAAACGACCCTGAGATTTCACCTGACACCCACCAGAATGGCTAAGATCAAAAACTCAAGTGACAACACATGCTGGAGAGGTTGTGGAGAAAGGGGAAACCTCCTCCATTGCTGGTGGGAATGCAAACTTGTACAACCACTTTGGAAATCAATCTGGCGCTATCTCAGAAAATTAGGAATAGTGCTTCCTCAAGATTCAGCTATACCACTCCTAGGCATATATCCAAAAAGAGGCTCAAGTACACAACAAGGACATTTCCTCAACCATGTTTGAAGCAGGTTTATATGTAATAGCCAGAACCTGGAAATAACCCAGATGTCCCTCAGTTGAGGAATGGATACAGAAATTGTGTTATGTTTACAGAATGGAATATTAGTCAGCAATTAAAAATGAAGAAATCATGAAATTTGCAGGCAAATGGTTGGACCTAGAAATGATCATCCTGAGTGAGATATCCCAAAAGCAGAAAGATACACATGGTATATACTCACTTAAATAGACCTCTAAGATAGGATAAATATACTGAAATGTATACACCTAAAGAAGATAAACAAAAAAGAGGACATTGATGGACATTGGAGGTAGGAGCAAACAAGTAACAGGACACGAGCCTACCACAGAGGGCCTCTGAAAGACTCTACCTAGCAGTGTATAAAAGCAGATATTAAGACTCATAACCAAACCTCTGGCAGAATGCAGGGAATCAAAAAAGGGGGCGGAGTTAATACGACCTGGAGAGGAGAGGAGTTCCACAAGGACCACATATATCTGGGCACAGGGGTCTTTTATGAGACTATTTCTCCAAACAAGGACCATGTATGGATGCAACCTAGAGCCCCTGCTCAGATGTAGCCCTTGGTAGCTCAGTATCCAAGTGGGTACTCTAATAAGGGGAACAGGGACTGTTTCTGACATGAACTCAATGGTGGGCTCTTTGACGACCCCCCCACCCCCAGGGAGGAGCAGCCTTGCTAGGCCACAGAGGAGGACTTTGCAGCTAGTCCTGAAGACACCTGATAAACCAGTATCAGATGGAAGGGGAGGAGGTTCTCCCTTTTCAGTGGACTTGGAAAGGGGCAGGGAGGAGATGAGGGAGGAAGGGTGGGATTGGGAGGGAAAGAGGGAGTGGGATACAGCAGGGATACAAAGTTAACAAACTGTAACTAATATTAAAAAATAAAAATTAAAAAATGAATAACTTGTAATAATAATAATACATATTGGCAATAAAAATAATATGATCACAATATATTCTGTAAGTCTCAAAAATAAAAACAGAAAAATAAATCATAAAAAATTAACAAACTTGTCCTAAATGGAAAGATGAATGTGTTGTTCTTGTAGATATATGGTTTTTAAGAAAGCAGGGATTATTTTGAGGACTTTAAATAATTCTTGTTCTTGTATTTGTAAAATATTAATATGCTATCAATGTAAAGGAATACTATTAAGACTAAAAAAAAAAAATCTTTAAGCTTGCCTAATACACAGAAATCTGCCAGTAAATAAACCAGCATTGTTTTACTTCTGTATAATTTCATGAGCTTTACTTTTTTTTTTTTTTTTAGCTTCAAGGCAGCTTCATTAACAATATAGTTAGATTTTCTCTATCTTGCATTTAGGAAACTAAGACATAAGTGGTTTAGGTGTTTACTCAGTTTCGTGTAGATGGGAGAGAAGACAGTGTGGTTTGAAAGCAAGCAGACAGTGTACTCATGAGATATTAGCTCCTTGCTGCTTCTCAAAACATTCATCATTTCAGTTCTGTGACTACTCTGCCCCAGTTCCACATGGCCAATGATAATACCAGCCCAATTTTATGCTGTGTAAGTCATACTCATCCATCTAGATCACCCTAAATTGTAACATCTCCATGAAGATGCCTTTACAGTTTTTTTTTCTCCTGTTAAAATTATAGCCACTCCTACTCACACAGAACTTACCCACAGAAATTTTATTCTATATTCAAACTATATTCATTCTGCTTGAATATATGCTTTATATTGAGAACTTCTGACAAAATTAAATATATTTTTCCTTTGTATCCATTCTCTATATATGCAATTCAAAATGTTGCAGCAGAAGATACTCAGCCAATATTCCTTCTCTGAACAAGGAAAGATTCATAAAACCATCAGGTTAAAGCAAAAATTGTCATATGAAAAGAGAGGTGAGGCAAAAAACTATTCTATTAAACATACTTTGAAGAAAGCCAGCATCTTAACTAAACACACATAGTTATGTGACAACGTTGCTTGAAGTAGTTTATTCTGCTCATATTTATTATATTTTCATTAAAGAAATCCTTGGCAGGGATTTTTACTACCATTTTACTTGTTACACATCAAAACCAAACTATTGGTGGTAGAATAAGAGTTCTACTAAAAAGTGCTGATCAGATACTATACAGCCCCTCTTTCTCTCTCTCTCTCTCTCTCTCTCTCTCTCTCTCTCTCTCTCTCTCTGTCCCCACTACACACTCACATGTACACAGAGTAGACTCACACCACCAGTACAAATATTCTTAGAAAACAAAATAAAGTATACCTCTTCTGTCATTGTTGGTCGAATAGGCAGCACTGATTTGTCCACTTCCCTCTCTTTACAATTGAAACCTAAAATCTTTATCACATAGTATTTCAGCATCTGACCCACAAGGAAAGGAAATGACACAGTCGTGTGTTGAAAATCTTTCTTTGAAATGTGTTACAATAGCCATCTCATCAAGGCACAAGTTTGCAAAATCTAAATTTGTCAGACAACACATCCTCCTCCCCCCTCCCTTTTTTATAGGACATTGTAAAGAGAAAAAGAGAAGTAAAAAAAAAATTATAAAAGCAAGAATTTTGGAGCAGTGTACAAAATTAACCTCCCATCAGTCTCTCCTGGTTAATAAGTTATGTATGACTTCTACAGTATTCACTATTCCCCAGTATGTCTTCTTGCAGTCATACGGTGCTGAGAGAAGATACCGTCTGTTTTCTGTCATTCTTTCCCCGTCTTTATAGGAAGGAGTAAAACAAAAGTCTGAAGTGCGAAACCTAAGAAAAGGGTATGGATCTTCACAAAGGGAAGCAACAGTGTTGATGCTCAGTTCAGCTCTCTCCATAATACTGTTGGTACTATTGATTTCTTCATTCTCCCAGATCTTACTGGACTAAAGAAGGCTGAAGCATCATCTCAAAAGAAAGGAAAACCCTTTGCCTTCCCACATGTCGTCAGAGGTTTGTACGTTTTGTTTTATCTATTCACTTATATTTCACAATTTCAAGTATAAAACACTTAAAAATTCAGTATTGCATTATTAAGCTTTTACAACTAATATTTCTGAATGAAAGATGTAGATTATTTTCTACAGGCAATTCTTGGTGCTCCAAACAGAAGGATGATGATAATGATGATGATGATGATGATGATGATGATGATGATTATTATTATTATTATTTTATACAATACACCTCAATGGCAGTTTCCACTACCTTTGCTCCTCTCAGTTCTCCTATACATACCTCCACTCCCCAGGATCCATGCCTTCATTTCCCTTAAGAAAAGAGCAGGCCTCCCCAGGATATCAACCAGAGTATAATAAGTTACAATAAGACTAGGTACAAACCTTCATATCAAGGCCGAATGAGGTAACCAGCAGGAGGAAAATGGTCCTTACAGCAGGCAAAACAGTCAGAGACACCCCACTCACACTGTTAGAAGTCCCACTAAAACACCAAGCTGTGCAACCATAACATATACACTATGGACCCATGCCGACCCATGCAGGTTCTATGATTGCTGATTCAGTCTCTGGGAGCTCCTATGAGCCCGCTTTGTTGGTTCTGTGGGCTGTATTTTCCTGGTGTCCTCGACCATAGTAATATTCTTCTGTACTCTTGGACTGGTGCCTAGCCAAATTGTCATCAGAAAGGCTTCCTCTGGTAGCTGATGGGAGCAGATGCACAGATCCACAGCCAAACATTAAGCAGAGAGAGAGAGAGAGAGAAAGAGAGTCTGAATCAGAGCTCTTCATTGGGTCCTTCCCATCAGAGTTTGGGAAATCCTAAGGAACAGGGGCAGGGAAAATTGTAGGAATCATGTTTTTTAAAGAATGATAGCTAAAATGATTAAGCTCCAAAATACCAACTGAGAGAAGACAATGCATGATAGAAAGAACAGAAGAACAATACAGCATTTGAGAGACTCAAGTGATAACGTAATACTGTTTATAGTAACAGTATGGTGAACCCTTTCCTAAGTAGTAAAAGGTTGTGAGTAGGTAAGGGTACAGCTCAGTGGTACAGCACTTGTGCAGCATTACCCAAGGGGCCTTGGTTCAATCCCTAGAATCCCATTTTTTTTAAATTAAAAGGTATTAAAATAGTAAAAGAAGCATTTACAGGGAACATGTAATTCTAGCCATGAAGCTGTAAAGTAAAAGTAGAACTACAAACCTATCCATGCTGTACTAGTACAAAGGCTATTGCCCTATCTCATAGACATATGGCTTACGTTTCTCCTAAAATTAGAGGAAGAGGAATTTGAAACTGACATGAGATTTCTCTCATTTCCCCTTATTATTTGTTAATAAATTTGATTGTAGGACATGTGGTATTAGGAGTACAAGAATCACGTCCTACTTAGGCATCTCAGTACAGCCTTGTGAACCTAGCACTCAAGAGACTGAGGAAGGAAGATGTGGAGTTTAATATCCAGCAGGCATCTTATTATAATATATATATATAAATTCTAATATATATATTATTATTATTTATATAAATTATAATATATATATATAAATTTATATATATATAAATTCTAAAGCAACGTGTATGTATGTATATATATTTATTTAATATATATTTAAAAGTAGATAACCTGATGATACTACAAGATAATAGAAGTCACACTTAAGAATTTGCAAATTGTGATGACTTTCCGACTTTCTATTTTTATGAAGATTTTTTTAGACTAGAGTCAGCTGCATTTTCAGTCTATGTGCAACATTTTTAAAGAGATATTTGTACATCCCAATGCTAACCACTTCCCTTCTTCATTATTTCCTCATTCTCTGGTTAATCTAATTTTTCTTGTAAAAAAAAATCTTTTCCATCTGCCAAAATATTCACTAGCCACACATTTTGTTCCTAAATAATTATATTTATCTGTACATTTTATAATATAATATGGTATATTATCTATTAGATATTATATTATATATATACTATATAAATATTCTTTTCCATGAAGCCAGAGGGAAAAGACTAAACTCCAACAAAGGTTAAATGAAGACATGGAGAGAATGGGGAATGTCTAAAGAAGATGACTTTATCGTTTCATTTAATTCTGGCCACTCTATAACTTCTTATTAAGAAAGTGTTGTGGGGCTCAGTAGATCGCTTAGAGTGTAATGGTGCTTTCCACCACACTTAATAACCTAAGTTTGATTCCCAGGACCTGCATGGTGGAAGGAGAAAACTGACTTCTTCAAGCTGCCTCTGAGCTCAGCATGTGTACCGTGGAAAGACATCCCACACATCTCCTTAAAGCTTATGTTACATATCTTATACTCTTTAGGGCTTACTTTTATGTCTAAAATTGCAACCCTTCATTAGTCATAAAAGGTAAAGTATGACATACAGGGTCTGGAGAGATAGCTTGTTAATTATGAGTGTATACTGTTTTCCTAGTGGAGCCAAGTTTGATTCCTAGCACCCACATAACTGCCACAAATCCATGTAATATTCTAGCTCCTGGACTCCTATGCTTTTTTTTTCTGGTTTCCAAAGACACTGCACTCACATGCACAAACCCATAAACATAATACTCCCAAATACAATCAGAAATACTAAAATGAAATATTTTAAGTTATGACATAAATATGTGTTTTTTAGTCAATATTTGTATGTTGTATGTTCTGACATCAAACTAGGAGCTCTAACTTTAATACAGAGTTTAAGAATGCTGAAATGACTCAGGCACAGTGGTGCACACCTGTTATCCCAGCACTCAGAAAGACAGAGGCAAGTGGATCTCTGTGAGTTCAAAGCCAGCCTGGTCTAGAAAGAGAGTCCAAGGCAACCAAGAATACACAGAGAAACCGTGCCTAAAAGATGCTGAAATGGGCATATACTTCTAAGTGAATACTATACCTCTATAGTATTATCAAAACAATGCACAAAATAGACAAATACAGAGAAGTAGAGCAGAGATTGCTTTACCTCAGGCAAATCTACAGGAGACTCAAACTTGTGGGACTATAATAGACTCTTAGAAACTGCTTCTTATTTTTTTTGGAAAGTATAGACTCCTCACTTGAAACCCCAAAGCCCACATTTTTCATTTGTCTCCTTTAGACAATTTAATGTTAACTTTTACAATGTTCTCTTTCAGACCACAAAAGAAGCCTAATCCTGAGTTTACACAGGAGTCCAGGAACAATGCAAATTCATAACTATATTTAATGACAAAGAATGAAATCAATCCCCAAGGAACTGTGTCACAGAACAGACCAACCCTCAAATCCAGGTAAATATATACAAAGGCAAATATTGAAGGCAACGTGATATACCAGAGTAGGAATAATCACCTTAGGAAAATAAGAGAGCTACTCTCAGGCAAAAATGACCTCTGAGAGCCAACTTTCTCTCAGAGAAAGACCATCTAGACCAAACCTTGACCAGGACTCCTACAAAAATGATTCTTACTCCTTAACTTTAATTTTCTTATATATAAGTCTAAAGCTAATGTTAGTTCTCCAATGACAATATCGGGATCACTGGATTCTTTTGTTTTTTGCTTCTGGGCCCCATTAATATATCTTCTCTGATTTAAACAACTATATTCCTTGTCTATTTAATTGGCAGATTATTAGCTTGGTGCCAAGGCTAATCTTCACTGTAAACCTACAGAAATGCCTCTGAGTATGTCTTTAATAGTGTTCTCAGAGAGGTCTAACTGAGGAGGGAATAGCCGTCCTGACTTTGGGAGCCGTCATATGATGAACTGAATCAGAAGAACTGAATCTCAAGGAGGACGCATGTGAGACCTAGCAGCACTCTGTCTTGGATCCTGACTAAGGCCGCCTCATTGGGATCAGATGTGTCATGCTCCCATTGCCACACCTTCCTCCCCACCACTGACTTCATTCTTCTGAAATCACAGCACAAAATGAATCCTCTTTTGCTTTTGGTCAGCTATGTTGTCACATAAATAAGAAACATCACCAGTACAAAAGTGTGGCTCACTTTGGGTGTCTGGTGAATCAGCCTGTTGAGGCTGGACACTCCGCATTTTTACTCTAACAAATAAACTTAAATATTAACTTTGACAAACACCAGAAAACTGAGACAAGCAAAGTAAGATATTCTTAGGACCCATGGCTCTTTGTAGATCTTAAACATTCCAGCTTTTGCCTTAAAAAAATATCCTTATGTGTTGTGTGCAGAGGTTTCTCATGATGGCTCAATGGTTATGAGCATAGGCTAATCTTTCAGAGAAGCAAGGCTCAATTCTCAGCACCCATATGCCAGCTTACAACCCTCTGAAACTCCAGTGCTAGTGGATCCAACACCATCTTATGGTCATTGCTGAATCAGAATTGCAAGCATTTAACAGACATACATGCAGC